ATTCTATTCTAACACATAAATTTGTTTTGATTTAAAAACTAACTATATCAAAAATAACATACTGTATTAATTATCTGTAAGGTTGTATTCTGATGATTGCTCATTCTATAGAGAATCTTGACATATATTTTATGTAATAACTCATAAGTATCAGTTATAAATTCATTAATCGCTCCATATTCTCGTATGGTATCAATAATATGATAATACTAATTATGCAGCTTTGGATACTTCATTCTGGTATTTACTATTGGTGTAAATAATGTGATAAACTTTCTTGTCTAATTAGTAATCATCTCCTGTAATGATGAAAAATTGAATGTATTATATAAATTAATTAATTGAATATAAAAAGAGTATATTGATGATCATCTAAAATTTATTGAGTTTAGAATCTGTAAAAGATTCCTTACAACTAAAAATATACATTCTGTTTCAAGATACAAATAAATCTATGAGTTTACTATCATGTTGTTTTGCTTGTCTCGTTGTCAAGTATGTATTATATTTTGCAATTATTAGACTATCAATAACAAAAATGAGTTGCTTTATCATACTTCTGAATTCTGATGCTGTAAATCGAACAATATTACTAAGGCTGTATTTGAAAGATTTGAGCTTAGGAAAATGTGAGATTGCTGCTAACCATTTGTCGAATTTATCAATATCTTTTTGATTACAGTATAGTCGAATATAATCTTGAACAAACATAGATCACAGTGATGCATGCGATCTGAAACAGTTACATTATAGATGTTTATTTCACTATAAAAATTTAATAAAGGTAATACAAATAAATAATAAAGTATTTTTTATGATTTGACAATATACATTATTTACTAAAATTTTCAGAAAATATTTTACATTAGATGAATAGAATATTTATGGTAAAGATTAGCATTCAAAACCATTTGCATATTGTTAGGTATTCGTAATCCTAGTTGAGATTGTGTTAAATTAAGGTTGTTGAATTCATTAATTGTTACAGTACAAATATGACAGAGTCACTTGCAAAGGGATGAATTATAAGTTAGTGTTAATGCTGCATTTTCAGATAGATCACCAATGAATTCAGAAAGAAAGAAAAGACCCAAATTATTTGGGTGTTTGTCATGATATCCAAGCTATTGCCTTCTAACCTTTCATATATTGGTTGTATCATGACATCGAAACAATGTTGATATAATATTCTTTTAGCAGATGTGAAATTTTTTTTATTGTCTTTACGATTATGAAGCAGTTTCAGCTTTGGCAAGAATCCTAACAAAACCTTTGCATCATATTTGTTTCTTTGCCAATTTGGTATATTTTCTAAAGATAAATAAACAGGATGCTCTATACTTTTTCCAAGATTATCCAACGTGATCACATTAGAATATATGATTATTGATAAAACTTTTTTTAGTTTTTTTTCGATTGATGCTTGAACACATTCTCACCATATTTCAGTTCATTGTTCATTATATACACGCTCACATTCCTCATTATCATTGATAATATACTTTGTTAAGAAATCCCACTGACAGTATTTTAAAATATCAGGATTAGATAAGAGCTCTTTAACAGCATCAAAGATAAGGCGATAATGGAGATAGTATTCTTTCTCTTCACACTTTAGGATTTTGTTTTAAGATAAAGTAAATGTTTGAATATTCATAGAATTAATAAATTTGTGTCCTTGTCTTGTATTTTTGGGCAGAATAGCATTTTCTTTAAAATGATTTCTACGGAACTATCTCAATATATTATTTTTAGCTAAATTGGATAAATGATGTTTTAATACAAGCTTCATAAATTCAGAGTAAGCAGCATCTGAAAAATATGTAATGTTTTGAAATGATTTAGATCTTGTGTTAATTGAAGTTATTTATTCAATTTATTCAGGATTATGTAGAATATAATTAGGGATATGCTCAAAAATAAGTTCATCTTCTGATTCAGATTTAGATTCAGTGATAGATTCTATTGTCATGTGTTCATCAATGAAAAAACTGTCATTATCTATATTACTGTTATCTTTCATCACTTCAACGTTAATTTCATATTGTTCTAAATCATTATCCTTATAAAAAGAGATAATTATATAATATTTTCAATTGTATGATAATAATATAAAAGTTAAAATATATTTACCATTTTCTTAAATTGTTCAAACTCTCCATAATCACTCTTTTTATCATCATACAAAATATCTATTTTTATACCATCAGGACGTTTGTTTACGTCTTTCAAATTCTCATTAGAAGAGTCAGCTGAAATGCTATTTAATATCTCCTAGTACGCTTAGCTTTTATGTGATTTTGTATGTTCACAAAGGGAGGCACAGCATAAGAATATTCTATCACATCGTTAATATAGATAACTGAATATATTTATATATGTTAAGAAAAGGTTTTTTTAAAAATTTCAGTTAAATTACAAATTAAATAAAAATAAATATATCGATATTTTTCTTGAACTTTAAATTTATAAATTTTAAGATAGGTTATCGAAAGAATACAGAAAGAATATATTTAATATAATAGAATTTTGATGGTATTCATAGCTTAAAATAGTTTAATATATATATAGTATTGTTGATCAATAGTTGGTTGATCAACTATTGTTTAATATACTGTATATGGTTAGAGTTCCAGATGAGTCGAGTTAACTTACGAGTCAAATAAGCCAAGTTGAGTTCAAATCAAGTTGAGTTTATTTTTTTTTGACTTGATGATTTGTGAATTAAGCCAAATTCAAGTCAAGTTAAATATTTAACTCAACTCGATTTAAACTCGACTTGATTCGAGTTGACTTGAATTGACTCAAGTTAATTTAAATGATAAAAAAATCATTCTAAAAAGAACAATAAGAAATCGTTCGTCTTGAATAATAAAAAAATCGTTCAAGAAGAATGATAAGAAATTGTTTGACTTGAATGATAAAAAAATCGTTTTAAGAAAAACGATTAGAAATCGTTTGACTTGAACAATAAAAAAATCATTCTAAGAAGAACGATTAGAAATCATTTGACTTGAACAATAAAAAAATTGTTCAAGTCAAATGATAAGGAATCGTTCAACTTGAACGATAAAAAAATCATTCAAAAAGAATGATAAGGAATCGTTCGACTTGAACGATAAAAAAATTGTTCAAGAAGAATGATAAGGAATCATTTGACTTGAACGATAAAAAAATTGTTCAAGAAGAATGATAAGGAATCATTCGACTTGAACAATAAAAAAATCGTTCAAGAAGAACGATAAGGAATCG